TTTGTGCGGTCCATTTTCCCCATATGAATTGAAAATGACTATGCTGATACACTATCTCACAAAGGGCAGTGATAAATAGGAAGACAAATATTTTGAAATGAATACTTAATGGGCATTCTCCTGTAGAGGTTACGCATTGTTGGAAATGCTTTCCTTGGAAATCTCTGTTAACAAAAGCCTTGTGATTGCCTTTAAAGGACACCACTGTAGGAGGCTCTCATGTGATTGAAATGGTGGCTCCAGAAAACAATGTCAAACTAATTTATGTGTCCCCCAAACTTTAAATAGTTGTCCCTTACTCCCAGGTCTACAAACTATGTGCCACAAAAAACCCTTCCTATAGAAGGATGTCATGTCTTATGTATACTGTTAACGTAACTATGGTAACAAAAAATGCCACCAGTGTGTCTGTTTCATACACAAATGAGGGGACAGCTGTGGAGTCCACATGTCTGCCAGTGGTATAATAGATGTGGGTAAGGACAGCCTGGGTCAGAAAATTACAACTCATTTCTATTAATCAGAGCTTTCAAATAACATTCCAACCTCAGAGCTATAAAGAACATAAATGGAAGGCAATAAGCCACTATAAAAGCAGTTTTCACTCCACGGCTTTCAGAACTAAGTGTCTTAAGGTGATGTAGCAGCATCTTCAGCAGGCATGCGAGAAGTCAGCGTGCACAGGACATTCGGTGTGTATCATTCCAAGGTTAAGCCTAGCTTCTCTGCCTCTCAGAGATGATTTCAGTGAAGTAGGGGCAATGGTTCCATCTAAGTTAAATACTTATATTAGTTGTGGTACTAAAGCATGGCTTCTATAAACCTTTTAGCAAATTCACTCATTTTGGCAGTTAACCCTTCTGGCCCTGCCATATTAGAAATGAGGAAATTGAGGATGGCTGGGGTTAATAAACTGATCTAAGATCACCTAACTAGGACTGGATAGCTTGCTTACCAAAGAACTGACAGAATTGCTAATAATATCTTACCTTTGCTGGAGCTTTTGAAAACATTAGAAACATGAAAAATATAATAGTATGTAAGATTGCATATTATTTCTTTAAAAACCATACTATAACATGAAGTGGAATATATTTTAATTATTAAATAATATGCTTAATTGTTCTACAGGGTGGTCATAAAGTCTGGAACTACACACACACACACACACACACACACATATATATAATTTTATCATGAATTGCAGAGTAATAGCAATAAACCATTCATTATATACTTGTCTATTTTTCAAGATTTGGTACCTATACCTTGTAACAAATATATCATAAAGTAGGTGAACGGTAATATGCTAAGATAAAATTCAGAAAGCAAACTTCATTTAAGACTTTTAGAACAAATGGTTCTCTTGGTCACCAAAGTATAGAATTTTACAGATAAGGTTTAACTTCTGTGTTTATTTTGTACTTTGAACCAAAACAAGAGGGAATACATTCTGACCTCATCTATATAATTACAACTTCATCTTGAATAAAATTTAATCTAAGTACTATTCATGAGTTAAAGATACTTCTGTTGTTCCCAGAAACCAAAATATGACTCTAAAAAGAAGACTGCTTTAACTCCACATTGGTTTACCCAAAAATAGAAGTTCAGCACAGTAATTTCAAAAAAATTAAGTATAATACTTGAGCAACCTTACATTAGGGCACGAATAAACCATTCAGAGAACTATCATCTTATAGCTTAAAAATAAATCTCAAGAAGGCATTGTGAAAGTCTAGTAAAATGACCTCCATGTCCTGTAATTAGCCATATTGAATCTGAGGTTTATGCCTATTTGGGGCATAATAAAAAGTCCACCATTGTGTTTATTTATAATCATTATTTATAGCTAATTGGCATGAGGGTAGCACTGTAACACTGTAGAGGCAGGTTTTCTTTGGCACTTGGTATACTACCACGAGTGTCACTTTGGAATATGTGCTCAGGGCTCTAGCTTTCATGTCAGGAAAGTAGCCTTCGCAGGTGCTAACTAGAAAACGATCAATGGCTACATTTTCCATTCTTTTTCAGAAGTTCACACACTAAACAGAGGTAACTGGTTATTTATCAGAGCCATAGTCTGCAGTTGGATTTGGTGAGATTCTTTTATTTAACAGAATGATTGTTTCTAATGATCAGGTACTTTATTACTTTTAGTTACTAAATAATGAGCTCTAATCTTTCCTTTTATTAGACTTGTAGAATAAAGATTTCACAGACAGGAAAGGCAATGTTTTCACCCATGTGAGGTTTTGGACATCTTAAGTCACCAGTTTATTTAGGAAAAACCATAAATAATTTTACAACAACATGACTTATAGTTTAGTTTAGACATGTTAAATATTTTTTATAGCTGTCCCTTGACTCCATCAGGAAGACAGACTACCAGGCTTAAGAGTCACGTAAGTTTATTACAATGATATGTTACTTTCTGACTTCTATATTGTTCTTAGACAGAAAATGCAAACTTGGCTATAACATGTTCTTACTTAAATTTGACTCAATTCATTTTTTCCCTCCTGGGAAAATACTGTATTATGTATAAAAGGCACTGAAACAGTAAAAATAACTTAAGGAAAGATGTAAAACAGCAGACTAACATCTGTTGCCTATCCTTCCCTTTAAACACTGAGCCCTCCAAAACAATGTTTGTTTGTTTTGGTTGTATTTTAATGTCCCTTTCAGTGAATATATAGAATACAGGGGCAAACGCTGTGCAGGGAGGGGGTTCTTATTTCCCTTCCACAGTGTTTGAGACTGACAAAGGGAGGCCATAGTGCTGGGAGCTAGTTTGTCAGTAGATAGAATCTCTGGCCTCACGTGCAGCCCACACGGCCTTTTGTTCAGTGGTCACACAATGCCAGAAGGTGAACAATGCAGCATGGTCAATCACCTAAAGTTAGACAAGGCAGAAAGGTCCTTGCCTGGGGATCCATTGCATGACTGTCTCCCCTCATTGTTCTGCCACTCCAGAACTACTCTAGTAACTAGGCACATTCACCCCCCTGCAGTTCTCCAAGTTTGGTGCCTTAAGAACCAAAATGATTTTTCCTGGACAGTGAACATTCCAGTGAGATCTTCATGTCAGTCAAGGCTAACTATATTCTCTTATACATAATATCTCTGATCTAGGGAGCAAATATGGGCCAGAAGTAAAATTATTCAATATAAAAGAAAAGAAACTCTAAAAGTTTGAGGGGTTGATTCAGAAACTACCTCAAGTGAGCCAAAGTGACTTAAAGTTACTATCTGCTTCATATAAACATTTTCCTAACTAGCGCAGGGTCTCTGGCTTGAACCTTGCATTTGCGTACAGCCAGGTAAAGAGCAAGCAGTACTTTGAGCTTTGAATACAACCGCACTCAAAGAATTTGGCTCTTGAATTAAGGTGTCAGCAAGCCATGAAATTCCCAAACAGAAAAACTCACACTGCGCCTTTATTTCATTTTCTTAAGGTCTATTGTTAACTGAAGACTCCTTGTCTTTTCAAATTCCTTCATGTGAATGGATGAGGCCAGACATCTGCCAGGATCCGCTCACATTTGCATGCAAATCAGAAACTTCGGGGCACACATGGCCCTGGAGCCAACAGCACCACTTTTACTCTAGATTTATACTGATCAAAGTGCCTTCCTGAACTTTCCACTCCTCTAGTCCTAGCTTTTAAAAATGAAATAGTAAGCATATTTGGCTAATATTAATAATTTACACTGTCATGGAAATGCAAATTTCAAAACAAAACATTAAAATACTGTCTTTCATAAAATCCTCCAAGCAAAAACCCCAAGTCATCAGTACCTGTTCTCTCGCCGAATTTGAATTATGTTTTTCTTTTATTATCTAGTCTTAGTATGAAAATACTAATGGTGGAATGGGATTTAGAGAACAGTCCATATTCTGGACTCTGACCTTTGCGCGTGGTAAAAATGTCTCAAAACCATTTGCACTGTAGTTATTTTTCATTCATTCACGGCCAGGCATGTTCTTGGGGAGGGGACTTAGGTGGTGCAGGCAGGTGCCACTGCCAAATCTCTCCCTGTCGGTTCCCTCTCAGCCGTCCCGGGACGGGCTTTCCAATGTTCTGCGGTCGGACTTTCCCACCGCACCCCAGCGGGCTGGGCAGGGAATACCTCTGCGGGAACCTGAAAGTGCCGATTCAGCGGCAGCCTACACCCCGCAACACGCAGCACAAAGGCCACTTGCTAACAAACTTTCCTCGCGGCTGACCTCGGCCAAGCCGAGAACCCAACGTGGGCTCCGTTCCTAGAGGAGACGGAGGCTCCCAGGACATTTGGGTATTCCTGGTGCTGAGCGCTGCTACCCCTTCTGGGTTCAAAATTAATAGAGTAAGATTTGTTCCCCACGTAGATTGCCCTATAGTTGAGTCGATTTTCCCCAATGCTCTGACTTCAGTATAGTCAGTGCTTTGTGAATCATGCTCCTTGCCCCTTTCTCTTATCGACAAGGCCATCGCCAGGACATTCTTCCCCGTTTCCTCTCCCCACAACCATTCACCTTCCTTACCCTTATCTTGGACCTCTTTCCAACTCCCTGACCCTCTTTCCACGGTCTTCTATGGCCCTGGCTGCCTTCCCCAGTTCATAACCCAGCTGTTCTTCCAATTCTCGGGCACCACCCTCCCTCTGGTCAATCCCTAGAATCAAGCGGGCTTGGCTCCACTCAATACCTTTTGCCCATTTCTGTCTGGCCTTTCCAACCAATCTGGGTTTTTTGGTTTTTGTTTTTTGGGTTTTTTCTTTTTTTTCTTTTTTTTTTTTTTTAGGGGAGGGGTGGTGTTAGTAACTAGACTCCCGTTTCCATACTTCGTCATATTCCCCAGGTACATGAACCGCGCCCCCTGTCCCCTTAGGCCCGCCCGCTATTTTATCCGCGGCTCCCCAAACCCTGTAGGGTCCGTCACGCTACCAAGTTTGCCTCGACTTGCCCTTGCAGCCTCCCATACTTCCTGCCGCGGCCCTGTTGGCCAGAACACTTACCCCGAGGCCGGGCTAGTTGGGATGTTGAGGTGCGCACGGACCAGGCACCATCAGCGGCAGCAGCGGCCGAAGCAGGAGGAGGAGGAAAAAGAGGAGGAGGAGGACCGACTGAGCGGCGCCTCCCTCCGGGTCCGCAGCGCGCACAGGATCCTTGGGGGACCCCCGGCAGAGCACCAAGACCCGAGGCGAGGCTGAGACACTAGCAACAGCTGCTTAGCGGGGCTGAGCTCAATCCTGCTCTTGGGGGCCAGAGTAGAGGCAGGCAGGATTAGAAAGGAGAAGGGTAAGAGAAGTGGGGTGCAGAGGGCTGGGCAGCGAGCGGCCAGGTCGGGAGGAAAGCTCCCCAGACGCCTAGGGATGTCGGTCCCGCCCCCGGGGCCTGCCGCCCCCGGCCCTTCTCCCTGCCCCCCGGGCGCTGCAGCCGCGGGCGCACGGGCCTCGCCTTGGTCCCCGGCTAGCTGCCGGCGCCCTCGGTGCGCCCCGCTTTGTGCTCCCCGCAGCCGGCGTGCACCTGGTGTAAGCAAAAGCGGTCAGCTGATGGGCTGCGCGCTGATTGGCTGCTCTGCCGTCTCCTCCCCTCCTGTCCCACCCCCTTCCCAGCCTTCCCCTCCCGGCCTCCCGCCCCCAACTCCCGCCCTGCGTTCAGCCCGGTGCTGGGGCACCATCTGTAGCCAACCCAACAAAGGCGCAGCGCGGCGGGCCTGGGGTGGCGGGGTAGCGTTGCGCCGGCGCCTCTGCAGGGAGCAGCGGGGCTGCAGCTTTTTGTCTGGGGGACTACAATCAGAGGCTGGGTTAGGGAGGCAAGGCTTATTGCCGTTTCTTAGCAAAAGACAAACCAAAAAATAAAAACAAAAACCTGCTAGGAGGCCAGCTAGGCACAATGGGGTTACATCTCTACGCAACTATGTAGGACTCGAGTTCAGGGGCAGAGAAGCCGATAAAATTGGAGCCCTGAGAAAGCCAAGTTCCAATCTGAAATCTGATCCTTGTCGTAAAATACATGGTGATTCCTTAGTCTGTGCGTACATGCCGGGGTGGGCATACATGCGTGACTGTGGAATTGGTCGGTTCCCAGGCCGTGGGAAGTAGTATTTGGACATTTAACAGAATGGAGAAGCCACATACGATTTAGGGAGGCTTTCAGAAAACGGTTCTGAAACTTCGCAGTTAAGTTTCCTGATTTGTTGGGCATGAACGTTGTGTTCTAACATGCAGGGGTTTGAGATTGCAGTCTGTTAGAAGTAGAAGGTGTCTGAGAACAAAGATGGAAAGAAGGTGTAGAATTGATCTTTGGAAGCTGCTTTTGAACTTGAATTTCAACTTGAGGGTAGCTAGTTTTCGTTGTTGGCGATACTTTAAGCTAGGGTATTATTAGCTCCTCAGTCCTGAACACCATCAGGCAAGAGAATGAGGTAACGTTTCTTCATGAGGTCCAAGCTTAAAACTTCTGTGGAATTTGGAAGGATACATTATTATACAATTATTTTTGAACCATTCTTTGAAGTCAAAGTCTTGATCCCTATAGCATTTGTTGCTGTCTTGCATAGAAGTCTGATAAATATTTGATGCCCCTGAATATCCATCTACTTTGTGTTACCCTGAAACTGTCATGTAGATCCCCGTGTTCCTTAGAAAACTCTAGGGGAAGATATTAGGATTCAGGTTAAAGGTAGGTGAAGAGCAGAGGGCCTGCTAGGGGAAAAAAAAAATGCCCATTGCTGCCTATTTAAAAACTTTCGAAGCTAGTTGAGTCTAAAACTCAACTCAAGTTTTTAACATGCATTTGTCTTCCTCCTTTTTCCATGCAGACTGTATGTGGCATGGAATTTGGTGAAAAAACAGAACTTGAATGATCAGGAAAAGAATGCACATTTCTTAGAGCTTGTCCTTTAAGTTTCCCTGGAAGTAGAAGGGAGATGATTGTGTCTCTATGAGGTGGAATTTTTCACAGGTAGGTCTTCGTGGGGCTGTTGAAGCAATCAATGATGATGAGGAATTACTCTTAGGACCCAAGATCTATAATAGACTCCCCTATTTGGAAGAGATTTTATGGGAATGGTATGAGTGAGGCACCAATGAATGAGCTTGGAAATCAGGCACACCGGCGTTTTAAATCCCAGCACTGCTATTAGGGAAAGATATTAGGATTCAGGTTAAAGGTAGGTGAAGAGCAGAGGGCCTGCTAGGGGAAAAAAAAAATGCCCATTGCTGCCTATTTAAAAACTTTCGAAGCTAGTTGAGTCTAAAACTCAACTCAAGTTTTTAACATGCATTTGTCTTCCTCCTTTTTCCATGCAGACTGTATGTGGCATGGAATTTGGTGAAAAAACAGAACTTGAATGATCAGGAAAAGAATGCACATTTCTTAGAGCTTGTCCTTTAAGTTTCCCTGGAAGTAGAAGGGAGATGATTGTGTCTCTATGAGGTGGAATTTTTCACAGGTAGGTCTTCGTGGGGCTGTTGAAGCAATCAATGATGATGAGGAATTACTCTTAGGACCCAAGATCTATAATAGACTCCCCTATTTGGAAGAGATTTTATGGGAATGGTATGAGTGAGGCACCAATGAATGAGCTTGGAAATCAGGCACACCGGCGTTTTAAATCCCAGCACTGCTATTTATGAACTGTGTCCCTGTGGGCAAATCACTACCTCTTTAAACCTTAGATTTTTTGGCTGTAAAGTGGGGTTAATAACAGTTTCTATCCCAAAGGACTATGTTGGTGAAGGGAGACTAAACCTGTAAAATGCTATGGGCAGTGCTTGGTGTGCAGAAGTGTCTGAAAAATGTGAACACTGGGCATTTTTAGCCAGGTATTGAAGACTAAAACAAGATATTAGGTCAGATAGGTGGACCAATGATTCCAGTCTCCTCCAAATCAGGGAGACTGTTATAGATCTTGCCTCCTAGAGTAACTCTTCACCATCATTGATAGCTTCAACAGCCCTGCTTAGACCGACATCTGTAGTAGTCTTAACCCCATTAAGTCCACCTCATATAGACAGCATCATCTCCCTTCTACTCCTAGGAAGACATGCTAGAAAACCTAAAGAAATCATCATCCTACTTGTCTGAACTGACACATGTTATGAAATATCTTAAAGGCACTAGCAGCTCCAGTGAAAGAAATAGACTCTGTCTCCCTGCTGTTCAGTTCATTTCTGGTTAAATCAGCGTATCCTTTATTTAAACTAATTTCCCTTTTCCCCAGAGCAAGAGTGAGAGAGGAAACTCTGCCTATTTCTACTTGACCACTGCATTTATTTAGCTCCAGACAGAAGGAGCATTATCACTAGGAAGAAGTATGTGTTTCAGAGGTGCAGGAAAGAACTTGGGTGGGAGGACAAGAGTTGCCATGTGTTGGAAAGATTGCTGTGAGAAAAAAAAAAAAGGAGAGAGAGAGAGAATAAAAGAGGCTTAAAAGTTATAAAAGAGTCTGAAAGTTGGTCCAGTTATTAGGAATTTGATGGTGCAAAATTGTGAATGGTTAATTGATACAAATTTTAGATACTGCCATTTTGTACTGAAAAAGAGTTTCAGAAATGTTTAATGAACTGACACTTTAAATAAAGTCCCTTGACATTGGGATGAATGAATAAGAAACACTCATTCAATGAACTAGCATAACTAAGCCAAATTCACTTGTTTCTTGCTTAAGATTCCCAAATCCAGTTGAATTACTCCTAGTAAAAAAAAAGGAAAAGAAAAGGAAGGAAAGGAAGAAAGGAAAGAGGAAAGACAAAAAGGAAAGAAAGAAAGACAAAAGACCTTTATCTTTATAGTTACTTATTTTGGGTATTACATAAAACCTGGGAGTCTTTGAAGGATGATGGAATTGAATAGAAGGATCTGAGAGTTCTTAAGAGAACCAGGTCTTAGGCTTGATGTAAGGAGGAGTTCTTGTCCCAAGGGTTGACTATGTTGAGACGCTACAAACCCCTCTGGATTCTCCCATAATTCCACTGAGGTTTTTAGCATTGGTTTGAAGAAACATGATAATTGGTATTAGCCTAATTATACTGATCTATGTGATAAATGAGGGGAGAAAAGAAGAAAGATGAAATTTTAGAGGATCACATTTGAATAATCTTTAAAAGAACACTGTATTTTAAGAAAAAATTATAATATGACATTTAAAGCCACAGTTTTAAAAGCTGAAATATGTCTCTCACTAGTTGAAGTATTAATAGAGTGCCTGTTGTTAGCATTTCTTTGGTTTTGTTTGTTTGTTCATTTCTAACCAAACTCTGTACTAATATTATAGTTTTAACACAATTGCTAACAAGCTCATAGAGGTTGATGGCTATACAAATCACATCAATTATAATTATGTGATTATTGTGATCACTGGTAACTTTCATATGGAATGTATTTTTCCAAAATTTTTTGACAATTGAATGGCTTTACTAAATACGTAGTTCTGGTGTTCTAGTTTTGTACTGCATATAAAATCATTCCAACATAAAAAGGGATTGATTGGAGTTTCGGTAATTAAAATAGTTTTAGCATTTACATCTAATAACTTGACATGGAACAAAGATGATCACCCATCTCGGTTCGCCTGGAACTCTCCAGGTTTTAGGCCTAAAAGTTTCACATCTCATGAAGTCCCCCAGTCTTGAATAAACTAGGATGGTTTGTTTCCTTTAATAGAATTAACATTAATAGATTATAGTACTGTTACAATTTTAGTTGAGTTGCAACTAAAATTGCAGATACACCAAATAATGTTTTTTCTTTTCTTTTTTTTTTTTTTTTTGGAGAGATTTTTGCTATAGGGCGCATGCGCTCGCCAGCCAGACAGAGAGAGACATAGAGACAGAAAGCAGGAAATCACCCCCCCCAGGGGGGATAGTCACGCTGCAATCCCTTCTCCTCCATTCTCCTCTCGTGATTTTAGGCACACACGCACACATGCCCAGCGTGAGTTTTAAGCCACCAGGTCCGGGATGTGAACTGCAGTAGACTATGTGGGAGTCCAGCGACATAGCCATTACGCTAACTGCTGGTTCCCCATCAAATAATGTTTTATGCTTGATTAGAGAATTCTATTTTTTAAAGTTTATTTATTTCAGGGGAGAGCGGAAGTCAAGAGAGAGAGAGACAAAAAAATAAGGACAAGCACCCTCAACATAATCTCATGCCCAGCCTCTTCCCAGCCCTCCCAGCCAGCCAGGATCATAGACATCCTTGCCCAGCACATATAGATTGACCAGGGAACTGAACCCTCAATCTTTCATGTGGATCCAGCATTGCTTGAGCACCGTATTACCCTTGTGCTACCAAGATAGTTACAAAGGCTCTATTTGTATTTGTAGAACTTAATTCCTCCAGAGACCTTGACAGCCATCTAATC